AATATTATGTATCTCTTATTCTGTATTTTATTCAGCATGTGCTCTCAGCCAGCTTCCCTGGAAGAGACCACTAGATGGCGCCACACTCCTGACTGGATGTGCTCACATCACAGACTATAGGCTTTCAGCTGAGATGCCACCCTTTGTTCATTATCAGTGAAAGAACAGTGGCACTATTGTTCTCTTCCCTTTGTACTCGTCGTCCTGCTTATTATGATGCCCATAAATTAAAGTCTTGAAGAAGCCCTGATTTTTTTAATGGCTTCTCTTCCACGTGTTTGCTGCATGTTCAGTGTCTGCACTGCAGATTTAAAGGTTTGACTCATGTTACTACCAACACATTCTGGATATGTTCACATTTGGCTTTTCACAGCTACAGTGTGAGGACCAGTAATGGATCTATTCTTGCAGGCAGTCATAACCTTCTCTGACCATCACTTTAAGTGCACACCATTGATGTGCTATGACTCGCTTAATGGCTCAGACCTTTGTGATCACTTACTGCAGCTGTAAGGAAAGAGTGAGCTGTAAAACATGCACATTTTGCTCTGTCACTTCAGTTAAAGGGAAATGCAACGATTACAGGAAAATGATATGCATGTTGAGTTTGAACTATATGAACACTGGCTTTCCTCTTATATTTCATGCATAGTGTATAAAGGCAATTCACGATGGAAGCTCAGTTACTTATTTATACACATCATCATACATTCATATTCTCACAATACATATTGACAATGTCACAATGCCCCGATAGTATCCGGATGTGGGCCACTTCAGGCAATGATGCGGCACAAAACGGATGTGAGCCTCAAGTGGCCCACTTGAAATAAGCAAATGTCGTACAAATATGCCAAAACAAATTTGGGCCTTTATTGGCAAACATGCAGTGCTTTTAGTCAAAATGTAATCTTGATACGAACCTAAAGTGCCCCATGTGGTAAATGGTGAATAAGGCCCAAAAAGATGGCATGATGTATTTCTTTTGCTTACATGTGGCTCAGATCCGGCAAACAGGAGCAGATATTTGTTATAGATCCCAACTGAATAAAAGCATGAATAAAACGCTTCTGAAATAATTGCAAGAATATGATGATACTCAAATCTGGCCAGTTTCTTTTTGTATTCTCATGCACCTGTTATACCTGAAGTTAGTTTTTGTTGTGATGGTTTAGTGTTTTAGCTGGAGTCCAGTTTGCTCTTGTTTTTTGTGTCAGTGCTTCACACTAAATGTTGCTGCTCTCGACTGAAAATACTGTGGATATTACTTGTGTCGTAAACCAGTGAGGGAAGAAATATTGAGAATGTTTAGTACAATGTAAAAATCTCCTTTGTGAATAAAAGTGCTGCGTTTTCAAATCAATAAAACTACTAATCATGTTCGACCTAAAGCTGCGTTTTAATGTAGCTTGTTGAGGTGGCGATCGTTCAGACTGTTTTATACTTTATCATTATGGGTATAGTTCAAGGACCCTGCTCTCATGGTCCACCCACATGAATATTACTTCTCTTTATTTCCTCTTCTCTCGGGACTGCGTGGGTGTGGACTGACTGGGTTTGATGTCTCTTTCACTTCTCCTGTCCGTCTGTTTTCTGGACAAGTAACAACTTTATCATCTGTATTACAACATGTCATTTCAAGCAGAGCTTTGCACAACTAAAACCTGAGCAAGTTTCAGCTTATATAAATAATGTTGCAAAATAGTTTTTATTTGTCAGCTGAGTTTCCTACATTTGCACACTTGCTTTGTCAGGTAGCTTCTCAGAGAACTCGCCTCAGTTCTTTTGTGGAGCGGCCTCGTTGTCCTCTGTCTCTTCATGTGACTCCAGTCTGTCTCCATGATGCTAAGATCAGCTGCAGCGCTCCGAGCTTCTCGCACAATGTTTATTTAGGACTCTCTCAGTTTGAGGTCGCTGCTGACTGAATTTAAGAACCATGTAAAAACCTATGTTTTATAATTTAATTGATATTTTTACATGTAGAATGAGATTATCAATATCAATCAAAGAGA